AGATTTATTAACCGTCTATAATTCCCTTTGAGACTTATATATGTTATAAATAATTTATATTATATAAGGAGAGAGAGGAAAAAATTAAATTTATTTATTTTTAGTTTTTATTTTTTTAAATATTACCAATATTCATTACAACTTATAAATATTTTTAAATCAATTTAAATTAGCAATCTTTTAATATATCAAATAAAGAATAAATAGATTTATATCCGAGAGAAATATAATGATGTGATTGCTTTACAGTCATACTCACTTCCAATTCACCATTGATATTCAATTATGTTAAAGTATACAGGAGCATTAAAATTAAAATACAACAAATTTACTGCTATAATTACATTTATAAAATATTTTACATTTTGTAATTGTCTTTTTACAAATTCACTGATAATATAAATTACATTTTTCAATAAAGTCAATTTTAGTTGATTAACACATTAATTATTTTAAACAATATTTTTATGTTTAAAAAATTTCTTCAATAAAAATAACATTTTAAAAATATAAGGTTTAAATGGATGTTGCTTATTACAATTTTTTTTTGGCAATTTGTTATTAGTTAAAATATTGTAAGTCTGAAACCAAAGAAAATCTTTTGTTTCTGTAAGACTGATATTACTTTTTGCGGAAAATAAGATCTTACAAAATAATATTTTCAAACGCAAAAAAAGAGCTTACGAAACTTCCTAATGCTTTTAAAACAATGTCAAAACTAACCCTAAAAATCTAGAGAATTATACAAAAATTTATTGATAAAACTTTTAAATAAAAGTTTTATGGAAATAAGGTAGATATTGTTGCTTTATTTACGATTCTGTTATCTTATGTTATGATAATCGAAAAAGATCTTATAGAATGAAAAACGAAATGGCAGGTTTTTAAGCCGTATTCATTACTTTTCTTATGTATTTTATTACGAACTTTCTAATATCTATAATAGAATTGAAAGAATAATATGTAAATAGAACCCTTACTTTTAAAAGTATTTCAGCAAAAAATTAACGAAATTATTTACTCAAATATTTCGAACTTTTGCTCAAAATACTTTTAAGAAATAAAAGTATCGTTTGAAATTAATTTGAAGGAATATATTAATAAATTATCGTAAAACTTTAGCTTTAATAAGATCTGTTTAAACTTAAAATTGTGTTTAATTTTGATCACAAGTAAAGCAACCTTCTTTCATTTCAAATTCTACATTCTTAGGGTTTTCAAAAATAAATCTGCTGAAACAATTAACTTAGATAATTATAAAATCTCTACGTTGAGGAATTCTAAGAAAAAAATATTTTTTTCTACTGATATATATATATGAAATAAGTCTTTAGACAGGAGAGTCGAAAGGCAAGTATTCAGCACTTAAAATAAATTCTTGTTCGGTATAACAATATGACTGATGATTAAAAACAGTTTGTAGATTATAGGGAATTTGATCTTGCAATTAGACTAAAGTAAACGGTTACCGATTTGCGTTTGATTATCATTTGTTTAACGGTGCCCCACGCGTTTATAAATTTGTGACATTGTCATATGTAGAAAAAGCGTTTCTTTTACAATTCGTCAGTTTCTTGATAAGTATTTCTTCATTACCAGGATCTTAATTTCTGTCAATTGAAAAACGTGACAAGGGCGACTACCTGATCCGTCTGTCCCTAGATAAATATTAAAAATAAATTGTGTTTTCATTGAGAACAAAATTAAAATTCGTAACAATGTTATTGCGAATAACAAATATCATCTTTCCTTATTCCCTTTTGTGTCTTAAAGAAATGTTTATGTCTCATAAAATATTTGTCTATAAATTTATTCCCTGAATTTTTGATTGTAGAAAATCCCGAAATGAAATATTGAAATTTTTTGATAACATACAAGATCGCTGTACTTCACTTTTTCTTTTAATCCTGACCAACGTATTGTTTTAAGCGTGGGCAATATGTTCCAACATAGTCAATCCAACAATTCCACTGATTTTGAATACTTCTTGTGCTCATAAATTATATCGTAATGGTATGGTGGTGTTCATTGCTGAATCGAATATTTTTTTAAAATTAATGATTTTGCTTCGAATAATATTCGAATTACTTCTGAAAAGTTCGTTCGTCCGTTTTGTATTTCTTCATATTTTAAATGATACCCATTTAAGCTGTTTTCTTAGTGAAATTATGCGAATTTAAACGATTGCTTTGCATTTTCTGAGTAAGTTGCAAACATTAGCGCCAAATTTGATGTTATATCTGGTATAGTTTCCAACCTTTTACTAAGTTCACGGTCTTCTAAGCCCCGTATGAAATGATTTGCTAAGAACGAATCTGGTATATGGTCCTCAAATAATAACTTAACTAAATCATTGAAATAATGCTTTGCAGATTCATAAGGGAATTGATATCTGTTATTAAAACGTGCATATGGAATATAATATCTGTATTCTGATGGTGAGTATTTCTCCTCTAATATAGAAAAAATCATTTCGGTTGGAATCAGATTAGGATTATAAGGATATACGTGTTTCTCGATACACAAACGAACCGTAGAATGGATCATATATAATACAAAAGCATTCGTATTTCCCACATAAACGATATCCAGTATAAACTCCATGAAATTTCGCCATAAAACAATATTTGATACTTCAAAATTGAATTTATCGAGACAACGATAAACAAAATCTGCGACTGACTCCCATGGGTATAGGAATTCAAGATGGGTTTCGCTCATTTTGTTTTCTTATTTTTTATAACAAGTAAATACAGAATCTTCCTTTAAGTTCTTCGTTTGATTTATTGTTTAATTTTCACCAATAAACACTATGCCCTCTTTGTATTATATTTCGAAATAATCTATTTTTTGGAAAACGTCAACAATTTATATTTTTTATTATATTTTTTCCACACATATATATATACAAGTGAAAAGATCTTACCATTAGTATCGTAGTAAATGAATAAGAATTTTTGTAATAAAAATATAACGTTAAAAAGAATAAGCACAAAACGTATACTGATATCTTAACCGTCTAAACTGATCGACTCTACATTTAAACTCAACTGTTTAGAGACAATAGGTGCATGGGACAGATATTAAGCATCTAACATAAGTTCTTATTCCAAGTATCAATATGATCGAACATTATAAACAGTTTGTTGATTATTGGGAATTTGAATATCGAACAAAGTGTACTGTTACAGATTTGCTTTTGTTTATCATCCTTTTAACGATGTCATGACTTTGTYAATTTACAATTTAAATCYTTTACATTGTCTTCCARTACCGTAAGATCTCGCAATATAGTGGGGGGAAGAGACTGTAAGTCGAAAAGTACCGAAAATTGTTGCATTTATTATTTTTTAATTCTACTCACATATTATTCCTTATTTAATCTAGATTATAAGTACACTGACGAAAACAAACATACTTTTCTTGCGTTTATTGAGAATTTTTAAAAATCCTCCTCCCTTAAAAAGCATAAAAATATCTCATTCTAATAAAAATATTCACATTTTAAACGTATTTAGAAATATTTTATATCTGCTTTTTTACTTTACCGGTTTCTCATTTGTCATTTTCAAGAATTTCTAGAAAATGTGAGAAATATGAATACATTTCCGATTTTTTCAAAAAACGCTATACATTGAAGACAATGCAAGATTTCCCACTATTCTGGTAACAATTGTACCACACCGCTAGGGAAAATTTTCTTGTCACAGCATTTAACGATCACTGCGCCATTTACTGCTAGAAGTTAAATTCTGTATTCTATCATATTTAAATATGACAAAGGGCATTCTATTTTTTGATTATATTATATGATGTGAATTATGTTAACAAAATCCATATGAAATTTAAAGCATTTAAAAAACGAAGCTATATACAAGGAGGACGATCGTGATAAGCGTTTGCGTCGAATTTGTGTTGTTGAAAATGACTGAATATCAAATACGATAATTATCCACGAGGGCGGCGGTGATGTTCTTAAGTTTAGATTTAAGTACGTGTGATTTTATAAATAAACAATTGAAATTAATAGTTGTCTTTGATGTTTTTGTTTTAATTACTATTTTTTAAAATCAGACCAAGCGACTAGACGCGCTCTCTAGTGGCAATAGAAATCATTGTTTCATTGTGAATATTTAATTGTAGCCACATTTACAACACGGCGATCGTATATACAACGGAGCTTTATACAGGATCCATGGTGTATAGGCTCCATGCATTTGCATCTCACGAGTTTAACAATATAAAACTCGTGTAATTTGTGCAATGCTGAATCAAGTAAAGATTACCTTAGTGTATTATAGCAATGGCTGAAAAATTGCGGAGATATGAAAAAATCGATTTTCTTGGAGAGGGACAGGTTAGAAATGTTTATTATTTTATAGGTTATATTTTATTGTTTTATTCTTTAGTACAATACATTAATTGTTTTATATTTACTATACTTTCAGTTTGCGACTGTTTACAAAGCAAAGGATGTAAAAACAGGAAAAATTGTTGCCGTTAAAAAGGTTAATCGAAAATATTTTACATTCTTATTTGTGTTATAATAATTAGTCTAAAAATCTTCAAATTATCTTAATTTTTTTTTATCTTCATCTCCATTTTTCTTCAGATCAAAGTCGGTAGTCGTGCAGAAGCTAGAGATGGGATAAATAGAACTGCGTTGAGAGAAATAAAGCTTTTACAAGAATTGAAACATGATAACGTGATTGGATTATTGGGTAAATTATTTTTACATAATGAAGATACAAGAAAATAGAATTGTGATGTTTGAATTAATTAATATTGTTTCATCTGTTATTTTAGATGTCTTCGGTTATAAATCCAATGTTTCATTAGTATTCGATTTCATGGATACAGATTTAGAAGTAATAATAAAAGACAGCAATATTGTCTTAACACCTCCGCATATAAAAGCGTATATGATTCAAACTCTTCAAGGTTTAGATTATTTACATTTTAATTGGATACTTCATAGAGATTTGAAACCTAATAATTTATTGGTTACGTCTGAGGGAGTCTTAAAAATAGGTGATTTTGGATTAGCCAAATTTTTTGGTTCCCCTAATAGAATAAATACTCATCAGGTGGTAACTAGATGGTATAGAGCCCCTGAATTACTTTATGGTGCAAGACTTTATAATACTGGTATTGATATGTGGGCGGTTGGTTGTATATTAGCAGAATTATTATTACGTGCACCTTTCTTACCTGGAGAATCTGACTTGGATCAACTTACTAGGATATTTCAGGTATTTTTTCTTATATATATTTAACATATTAAGTGCCAAGCCTTTTTTTATTAAGTTTTCTATTTAAGCTACAATGATTTTCCAACCGTAGAAAAACATAAGAATGTTGGTCATTGATAACTGATGTAGTTTGGATAGAAAGAGTTTAAAATCATGTTCATAAGGACTAGCATGGCGTTTAACGTGTTAAACAGATTTTATTATTTTATTATAGGAGCCATTTAAAGGCACAAGCGATTAATCTTTTAGATACAGCTATGTTGTTCGCTTCTACTGTATATTTGCGTCGTGAATAGGGTTTTACTGTATGAGTCAATTAAAATGCAAACATAAAGTTTATAGTGAAGTAGATAAAGGATCGAATATTACAATATAATGTGCTTTCAAATACTTAGATTTTTAAAATTGTAAACCGAAAATATCAATGAATGACTATAGTCACCATTAGTATGCCAATAAACGTCAAATGATAGGATACCAATATAATCACCGGTAGTACCAAAAGGGTTAACTTCATCGTTAGATTTTTAAAAAATGTTATTATCGAAGTACTTCATCAATACTTCATTTTTTATATTTTAAATAAATTTTCTTAATAATTAGACTAAATGTCACTAAATGAGAAAAATTTTAATGATCATTCAGTAATAAATGATACATCAATTTTCTTTACTTTTTGTTTAGTGAAGTTAATCGATTTGGCAAATGAGTGGTTTATACATGTATTATTTAATATAAATGATGGTGATGTAAATTATTGTATTTTACAGACACTAGGTACCCCAACCGAAGAAACATGGCCAGGCATGACGGAATTATCCGATTTTATTCAATTCAAACCTTTTCCGGGAATGCCATTGAAGGATATATTCACTGCTGCAAGCGATGATTTATTAGATTTAATTGCTTGTCTATTAAATGTTAATCCATTAGAGAGATGTACATGCGACCAAGCGTTACAAATGCCATACTTTAGCAACAAACCAGGTCCGACACCTGGATCTAGATTACCTCTTCCAATGACAATAAAACATCAGCCAGAAGAAAAGATAAGTTTGAAGCGTAAATTATTGGAGACCATAGAAGGTGCTCCCCTTGCTAAAAGACTACAATTTTGATGTATATTTTGAACAAACAATGATAAGATTTATCATCACGAGTTTGTTAATTTTAGTTATTAAGTCTATTTAAGGATTGCCAAATAAATATAAATACTTTGAATGTTATAACTTTCATTTCTTTTTTATGAATAAGCCAATATACAACAATTAAATATTCTACTTCCTTTTTGTATCTCATAAATCAAAATATATATATATATATACACATATATGTATATATATATGTATATATGTATATATACATATATAATAATATATAATATATATACATATATAATACTCTTCGCATTATTAATACTTATATATATATAAAATTGTGTTTATAAAGAAACTTGATTAAGTTTAATAGGCTGTATTTTTTTCTATCATTGAACTTTCTTTTAACCAAGCTGACTTATACTATTAATTGAAATGTTATTACAAAAGTGTTACGTAACTTAAATCGAAACAATGAACTGTTTTTTTTTGTACGAAACATTTGTGTGCTATTGAAAAAATGTAATACAATTATTTATGATAAATAGATGTTTAAGGCAAGTCTGTTTCTGTAAGATAATAATATTATTTGTTAATATAATCCTAACGGTTTCCTGTACACATCATTGCTTCTGAATTTAATAGGGGGGGAGGGGAGATATTAAAATGCATTTGATACAACACACTGTTTCAATTATACTTATGCTAATTATATTAAAAAGATGCTACACAATGTTATTAACTCATATTATTACACATATCTTTCCATGGTCCCAATGTATGAAATGGTATTAATGATAAATCAAAATTAAATCTTATATGTATATGTATATATATATGTGCAACGAAATAAAATTATACAATGAATTTACTGATATATTAACTGTATTAATAAAAATTAATAAAAGTGTTATAAAATGCAAGTTGAAAGCGGCTTATATTCAAATAGTTACACTGATAATTGAGATATGGTAATTATTACAATAAAAACAAATACGTTATTTTTTTTTTCTGAAATATTACTTATAAATATTTAATAGATAAACATGTAGACGATAGCGACACAAAACTGTGTACGATATCATGCATGTAATTAAAATAAATATAAATCTTATGTGTGCAGTACTGCCAGTTTATGTGTATCCTACTTGAAACTAATACGCAAAAGGATAATTAAATGGAAATTTATTTTTGATTGTAGAACATTAAAGAAGAAAATAAGTATACTTAGTGTCGTTAATGTGATAAGGTATCTTAAACAAGAAACCACATTACAATGTGTGATTGTTATTTTGTTTGTTATGACTATTAACTATTAAAGAAAAATTAAACAATCTTGCCATTTTGTTTTTACAAATGATTATAAATAAAATGCTAGTTAATCGAATCATTAATATTAGATTCAATTCAATGATCATTAGCGTCAGCCTCATTTCACTTAAACAAATTTCATTTTAGAAACATACATAAAGCAGACTCACTGAACTAATATAATATTAGTTTTCCACATTGATTAATAACTAATCACAATATTATCTTAATATTTGTTTCTAACATAAATAGACATGTCAATATATGAAACTATTATAAACGATCCACCTATTCTTTCTTTCTTTCTTTCTTTTTTCTTTCTTTCTTTCTTTCTTTCTTTCTTTCTTTCTTTCTTTCTTTCTTTCTTTCTTTATTTATTTATTTATTTATTTATTTATTTATTTTGTTAGTTTTGTATGTATTTCATATATACTCTATAGATTGAAAAGATCGCAATAAAAATTCAGCAGTCTCTTTAGTTAGTTGTTCCTTGTACTTCGAATTTTAATCTACACATATTTCGGATATATTATAAAAGAGAGTCTTGTACAATTTTATTTTTCAGATACTTAGTAAACTTACAAGAAACCGATAAGTAGTAATAAAGAATTGATATACTGAGTAATAATAGATTAAATGGGACTGGTATGATATATACAAAGATCTCAATTAAATTGTGTGATTCAAATATGAGACACATTGTAAGTAGCATTAAAGCGGTGAGTTTATATCATCTGTTTTACATAATGATTTGATTGTGGAACACACTTTTCATATATCAGCTATCTGACTTTTTTTTTTCTATGTTTCACAGTAATATTAAAAGTAGAAATACAGATTTTTTGTAACGTTACTACTGCCTTTTACTTTACGTATACGCATATGTACATACTATATATACATACGCGCAGATATATACGATAGGTACATACGTGTTTGTGTGTATGTGTATTTTTTTTCTTTCTTCCTTTCTTTTTTAATAGTCAGTCCAAGGCAAACGTTTGTTCACAGTATATAATATAGCTATATTATGTTCGTGCTTTCTTCAGATTATTCTAACTATATATTACTTTCTTTTAAAAAACGTATGCTTAATATTTAATATATTATAATATTA